ACAAAGTCAGAATTTGATCTCAACTATTCTGCCTCATTCCCTTCCAGGTCTCTCAAATATCATAACAATTTGAGGAAAAGAACTAGGCCTAACAAAGTAGCATGTTGAAAGTAAAAACAAATGGAGGTCATGTAGTACTCCTTTATTAAGTCATTCAGAAAGAAGGTCATATTTCCATGATGTGGTATTAAGTTTTTTGAACCACATTTTAATAGAAAGGCAAGAAGAAAAGCCAGGTAAAACATTATTTAAGTACAGATTAAACGTAAGACAGCTATTCCTCCTGTCATTCAATTGGTGGGTAATTGTTTCTCTGTAAGAGGTTGTGTGGGCAGGATGCACCCTCGCTCTGGATATCTATCATGCTGATTTTAATTACATAATAGAGGCAGGCAGGATAGAGGGAACACTTGTTGATTTTGTTCCACTAAGTGGAATACTGAGTAATGAGCAAGGAAAAACTATATAGATCTGAGTGGTTTTTTTTAGATTGTGCCTTGTGGTTTCTCTATAAGATGGATTGCAGATTTTTAAAAGAGGGATGTCATGTTCTATATAAAACTCCATTTTGTATAGCTCCTTGGAGAGGCGGCTATAGCAGATGGCTCTTAGAGCCTGTGTGAATTCTGGGTTTGTTTTGTGAGCTTGAGCAAATTCCAGTCCTCAGCTTTCTCACCTTCAGGGTTGAGATCATAATACCTACCTCACTAAGTACACAGTAAATTGAAAGCCTTCCCCTTTCCACCTCCTGCCACCTTTTTCCATTCAACAAGTAATTATTGAGAATCTCTTGTGTCTTGTGTTCTGTCCCATACATGGAGCTCTTCTGAGAGCTCAAAGTGAGAGGCAGGAAGGCACCTAACCAGCTCTTTGCGCTGCAGTTTAGTGGAAGTGCTTAGAACTATCTACACTCCCTAGATGTGGAAGAAGCCCGAGGTACGGAGCAATTACATGTTCTGGTGGTCCGTGGACAGCAGTGTCCATTTGAAACATCTTTTGTATTTAATGGTCATTTACTACTTGGTGAACATTAAACCTTTGTATTTCGTGGTCAGAAATGAGTTCAATGTAAACAATAGGCTGATTTGCAATGCATGGCAATTTGAGTTTTGTCATTGGGTTAAGAATATGTTATGCCAGCCAAAACCAGTTTGGCTCAGTGGATAGAGCGTCAGCTTGTGGACTGAAGGGTCCCAGGTTCGATTCCGGTCAAGGGTATGTACCTTGGTTGCAGGCACATCTCTAGTAGGGAGTGTGCAGGAGGCAGCTGGTCGGTTTCTCTCTAATCAATGTTTCTCACTCTCTATTCCTCTCCCTTCCTTTTTGTGGAAAATCAATAAAATATATATTATAAAAAAAAAAGAATATGTTACGCCAGATGTAGCAATCTTTACAGTGATCGCTGTGAGAAGTTATTGGTTTTACAAGACTGATACCATCCAAGGACCTGCAGAGCTGTCAGTTTGATCATAGCTCCCAGGGTTGGGGAATTACATACATGCAGAGCACCTGCTTCATGGCAGGCTCTGGGGAAACAAAAAATGTCTTTGCCGTCCTGGCACCCTGGCCTTGGGGGAAGGTGAACAGGGCAGGATGCACACCATCCTTGCTTGGGTGAGAGCTTGATAACTCCATTGGTTCTGGCGTTATTCCTATGGCATTATACTGTTAACTTGTACAGAAGAAGTTATATGTACTGTGAAGTTATTGGGTAAGATTTTAAGGTCACCCAGGAATGCTGTGGCATTTTATTCAGTGACCCATCTGTAATTCAAAATGGCCATCATCCTAAAGCAGCCAGTCATGCTGAGTTTGACAGCACTTCTCCATTCTGATTTGTTAGGTGTCACATGTGGTGGGGAAGTTGTCAGCTATGAATTTTTCTCCTTTCTTTCTCTAGGGTGAAAGCTTGGCATATGCTTTTGCCCCGGGGTGATGGAAATGCGTGAGGCTCTGTCCCTTCCACCGTGTTTGCCCCGTTCCAGGCCCATCGTGCGAGTGCGTTCATAGATCTTTCAGAACCCTGGTTCCTAATGGGGTTTGATCCTGATCTGGTGTTATTTGTTCACTCAGTAATTACTTACTAATTTCTTGATGGTGGGGACAGTACTAGACATGGGGTCACTCTAGGGGAGCTAGTAATGGGTTACCCTGGGCAGGCTAATGATTTGATGTCACTTCAGACTGTTATTCTTTAAATCCTGGTTCATGACACTGTTAAGATGTCACAGAAAGCAAGCATTCTGTGACAGGGAAGAGCACAGCCAAAGAGGCCCTCTGGTTCCCCCTCTGCCTGTTCTCAGGATCTCAACAGACCAGAGGTAAAACAGCAGATTCCTCATCTTCCCTTCCAACCATATTCTGAGCAATCCTTGTGAGAGGTTCTGGTAGATACTATTTTTGTTCAACCTAATTCAGTTTCCAGAGTTGTTTTCAACACCCCTTCGATGAATCGGTGCATGGAAGCCACTGTGATAGCCAGGCCCTCAATCTAGCGCTGGGAAGAGACTCTGGGGTAGGTACCAGGAGTCCTGGCCCAGTCCTCCGGGAACTTAAGGCAATAGCTTATGGTAGACTATCACACAGTATGAGAGAACTATTAGTGAAGTGTCCTAGGGACAGAGATGGAAGTGCAGTGGAGACAGCCTGTGGAGGTCAGGGTGGCTCAGGGAAGTGATTCATGGACGTGATCCCAGGGTGGGACAGAAGGTAAAGCGACGTGTTCCTTTCAAATTGATGAAATTGCATATTTTCATTTCATATCACGGAAAGCCTTAAACTTTTGGAATTGCACAAAGCAAAGTGACTAGGATATTACAGTGATTTTGCCGTATTTGATGGCCTGCAAAATGACATCAAGTGACTATGAGGAGATTTTTGACTTCTTGCTAAATGGTTAATTGTAGAATTTTATTTAACTTTTCACTACAAGACAAACTCACCCAAATGGGAAGCCCTTCTCAGATTCCAAAACGTTACAGTAGTTCGATTTGCTACAAACAAGTTTGTTTTATAATCTCCATTCTTTCTAGTGACAAGCAAGAAATAAGAGCATTCAGGCTTCTCGGTTTTCACAGTAAAAACCTTGGGCCTTTGTTTTTTATCAGAAGGCTGGTTGCCCCTATTGTTCCTTAAGCCATAGTCACTGGGGAGTATTCCCTTAGAGCTCTTACTTGAGAAAGGAAGTCTCGGTGTTTTGCTTGTCTTCCAGATTCGGAGATGACTTTCTGGAATTGACTTTGTGTCCTGCTGCTGGGGAAAGAAAATGTTTTTGAGGGAGGAGGGCATGCTAGCTTTGTAACATTCATTAGCATAGCAAACTGGAGGAGCCACAGATGCTGTCTCTGGGCAGCTGGGTCTGCAGAATTACTGAGAGTCCCAGGCTTGTTTTTATCCTGCCTAACATGGACTATTTATTCTGCTCTGAGAAGCATTGCCATTCAGTATTTTTGCATGCTCATCCTTCCCACTTGTACTTTTGTTTGTTGCTGGAGAGGAAGAAAGCCAATAACTTCTGCTATGGTTCCTAAAATTAGAGTGATTTGGCTTTAGCCTGGATAAAGAAACTGAAGTACATCGTCTTGTTGTTGTTGGTGGCTGTGGTAGTGGTGGTGGTGGTGGTGGTGGTGGTGGTGTGTGTGTGTGTTTAACTGACATCAATGGTTGCACTCTGAGATGACAAATTGTCATTCTGAGAAAGCTTTTTTGAACTTCTACGTTTATATCTTCTCAGCAATATATTCTTCTGGTTTAGGTAGATAAGTAGAAAAAAGAATGAAACTCATTAATAAAACATTGGCAAGCATTCAACCCCACTTAATCAAAACAATGCAAAATAAAGCAATAAGATCATTTTTTTAATGGAATTAGTGAAGTGTATTTTATTTGTTGTTGTTGGGGTTGGTTTGTTTTTTGCCTTTTTTAAAATGGTGATTCTAACATCTGGTGAGAGTTCTACTGATATATTGTTTATAGGAAAGAAAATTAGCATAATCTTCTTGGGAAATAATTTGATGTTACATATCAGAGGCCTTAAAATATTCAAGCTCTTTGACTCATTACTCTCACTTTCAAAGTCTATGCAAAAGAAATCATACGAACAGAGTACAGAAATGTTTACAACATTATTAGTAATAAAAAGAAAAAAAATCTAATATTCTGTAGTGAAATGGTTTTGTAAACTATGACATACCCACGTATGAATTATGTTTGGAGAAACTATTAACAACATTGAGAAAGCCTGTGATAAATGATGAGGCAAAGGAGATCTGTGTTTTGCCATTGAATTTTACAATGGCACAATTGTGTATAGTAATTAGCAGTCCAGCAAAAATAAAACAAAAAAACCTGGAATGAGAAAACAATCTCAAATATTAAATCTTTCTTCCTTCCCCCATGTTTTTCTTCTTTCTGTAAGAAGCGTAAATATTTTCAATTGGTGTTTCTATCTTTTATTTATGAAATGAGTGGTGCCTTAGATAGAATGCTTATCTCATTTTTCACTAAAAATTTAATGTTCATATTTTACACTTTGTAAATTTCCATGGTGATGAGATTGAATCTGTAATTTCTGGTAATGATTTGTTTCTTTCCCTGGGTGTTAGTTAACACCTTTTATGAGAGGTCAGAAGGTGATCTCTTTAACAGCACTCACTTTTTAATTAATTTATTTATTTTTTGTTAATCCTCACCTGAAGAGATCTTTTCCATTGACTTTTAGAGAGAGACAGAGAGAGAGAAAAACATCGAAATGAGAGAGACACATAGATTGGTTGCCTCCGCACATGCCCCGACCAGGGCCAGAGATTGAGCCTGCAACAGAGTTACAGAATCAAACCCTCAACCCTCAGGCTGTGGGCTGAACCGACCAGGGCAACACTCAGTTATTTTTAAAGTTACTTTTTTGTATGTTGACAATTTTAGTACCATATAAATTGACAAATTGTGTTGGAGTCCTGTGATGCACAAAATATAACAATATGTTTATGATTTATCTTTAGGAATTTTTCAAATAGAAACTAATGGCAAAGTTTCCGGTTGACCAGCATTCATAGGGTAAGATTAACATTCTGAATTGTGAACACATGGTAAAGATAATTACTGTTACATTGGTAGCTTGGGGCAAACAAATAATGAATACTTAATATGCAAAAAAAAAGTATATTTTTTATAGATGGCATGAGTAAAAGCCTGATGGTTTTAAACAAGCTAAACAGAAAATTAAATCTATATACATTTTGGTAAAATGTTACCTTACTGTGCTTTGTCAGTTTTGTATATAGGAAAGTGTGTGTGTGTATATGTGTGTGTGTGTGTGTGTGTGTGTGTGTGTATAAGAGAGAGAGAGAGAGAGAGAGAGAGAGAGAGAGAGAGAGAGAGAGAGAGAGAGATTTTTCATTTTTAACATTAAAATTTAAAGAATATAATAAATGTCTCCAACAGACTTAGACTGCATGACTCCATGCCTGTATTTTTCTGATTTTTGTTTAAGGTGGTATTTTTGATGCATAGCATTAGTTTGCCTGGTTTTCATAAGTAATAGATGGCCATGCTTTCCTAGAGTAGGTAAGTCAGAAATAAATAAGTCCTATGTTCTGTTGCTTCCTACAAACATCATTCTTCTTTTATAGTTGTAGAAGATTAATCTTAGATTAGCTCTGTGGCAGAACTTTTGAGTTTGATTTATGCACTGTATGAAATAGCATGACTTTCTAGCGTGAGCACAACATATGTCTTAAAAGTGTGTCACCCTGAACGTGGAATTGAGGCGGAGCAGTGGTGAGCACAGTGGGCCTATTCCCTGGCATTCTGAACACCCTTCTTTTTATAGATGAAGATGCAGATCTTTTGACTTCTTGAGTATAGCCACATTTCCCTGCTGATTCATTGATTTGACTATAAATTTTTAAAAGCTAATATCATCAACTCTTCCTGCACTTATGACTCTTTGGTGGCTTTTCCATCACTCCTGAACTGTGTATTTTCCAAACTCTTTACTGTGGCAGCAAGCCCTCTGTCACTCATCTTCTTTCTGCAGGCTCCTGACGTTCCAGCCGAGAAGCCTCCTTTCTGATCCTCATACACCCTGAGCTTCTTACTCCTTCATGGAATGACCCTCCACAGCAGCATCACATGTCTGACTCCATTTAGATCTGTGCTTTAATGGCAGTCCCTCTAAAGAGGCCTTCCCCAACCCTCCAATCTAAAGTAGCTTTATGGTCTTCATAGTGTTTCTGACTTTATTGTGTTATCTACTTGGTTATCGTCTCTCTTTCCTTACTACCCAGTAAGGTCACTCAGAGCAGGGTTCTTGTCTATCTTACATACCTGTATTTCCCCGACCACTTAGAACTCCCCCTGGCACATAGAAGGCATTGTAAATATTCGTCGCATGAACAGATTAATGTTCTGATCCCTCTCTGACAAGTGCTGTTGCTCACTTATGTTTCAGCCATTTTCTTGGGTTATTTGGTTTGTATGGAACCAAATGAAGTACTGTTTAGGTTTAGCCTTCATTGCACCCATTTTGGCACAGAAGTGACGCTATAAGATGGGATGCTTTCAGCTATGCATATTTCCCCTCCATAATCCTATATAATAAAAGGGAAATATGCAAGACAACCGAACAGCAGAATGGCCAGTCACTATGACACACACTGACCGCCAGGGGGCAGACAGTCAATGCAGGAGCTGATTGGGGCCTCATTGGGGCCTGCTGGCCAACCACTTGGTTTCTCCCCACAGCTGGCTGGCTCCAATCATCCGATGGTAAAGGGGGAACCAGGGGTAGGTGGCAGTGGGGGGTGAGGCCGGTAGCCAGGAAAGATGGCCCTGATCACAGGCCAGGCCTAAGGACTATACCCATGCACAAATTTTGTGTGCCAGGCCTCTAGTAGGAATATAAATCCTATGAAAGCAGAACAAGGCCTCATATCTCCTTGGTATCCCTTTGGAGTTCTAGCCTCCATAATTGAGTGCACATAAATGTTAACTTTAGAGAAAGGTTTAAGATGAGTCGTTTACTCATATTTTTAAGGATTTCAATAATACACTGCTTTGTCTGCTCCAAAGTTTAAAAACAAAAATCTCATTTTGAATTATAATTGAAAAATTGTAACACAGCATTATTCTGGACTATATTTGAAGCTTATTAATTAGGCTACATGGCCAGAATCAGTACTCTAACCATCCAATTCTTTTCAAATTAAGAAACTTGGCCATAAGCCCATGTTTTACCCTTTGACCCTCGAGAAGCCACTTGAACATCTCTGAACTTTCATTTCCTTATTTGTAAAGACTTGGACTTTGATCTCTCTGGTTTCTTCCTTGAGTATATAGTCCATATGCTTCTGCTCTTGTGAAGGTAGGTCACCTATGGAAGAATTAGGAGAATCGGCTGGAATGATGATCTCTGCTTTTAACCAGTCATTTGAAAGGAGAGCATGTATGATTCACAGGAAACTGCAGAGGCACTGAGTTTGGCTCTATTTTATGGCTTTCTTACTGTGAGGTGGGGGTGGGTGTCAGGGAGACATTTTTGTATCAATGAAGGTAATGGAGAAGGGCTTAAAGTTACACATTCTCTCTAAGAATTATGCAGCCACTGGTGGCTTATGCTCAACAAATAATCCTATATAATAAAGAGCTAATATGCTAATGGTCATTTTGCCCTCACGCCTTAAGGACAGATCAGCAGGAGGCTGCATGCACAGCAGGCGCGAGTGGGTGGGGACTTGACGCTGCATCCCCACCTGGTGCCGGCCAGGGACGTGATGCTGCGTCCCCCACTGGCAGAGCATGACGGGGGTGGGGTCAGCTGGGTCTGGGTCCCTTCCCTTTGAATGTGCACGGATTTTGTGCACTGGGCCACTAGTATTATAATAATGTGGCTGCAACTTCTTTAAATGTGTTCTAGTTAATTTGGTAGTTCACTAAAAGTATCCAAGAACTAAGAGGTCTTTTCTCTAAGATGATCACCATCTAAATTAAATGCATGATGGGATGGGAGGACAATCTAGCTTTGACGTCTGTTGCCCCATTGATCGCCAGGGTTGATTCAGCTGATCTGGCTGGCTAGTCCACATGCATTCCTCCCAAAGTAGATGACTTTCCTCCCAGAGGAGAGGACCGGTCTTCAGTCAAGGGTATATGAGTAGCTGCTAGAACCTCCAAACAAGCTTCCAAAGTCCATTTGTAGGAGAACAGAGGGTAGTCAAGCTTTCAAGACTCCAGACATATAAATGAGGCACTGCATGCAGAAGTCAGTCTGCCTTTAAATTTTTTTTAATTAATTAATTAATTAATTAATACATGATGTATTCCATGTCTGTGAAAAACCAGGATAAATAAAGAATGTTCTGGAAACAGCCTAAGTGCCCATCAGCAGACGAATGGATTAAAAAAACTGTGCTATACCTACACAATGGAATACTATGCTACTGTAAAAAAGAAGGATCTCTTACCATATGTAACAACATGGATGGGCCTGGAGAACATTATGCTAAGTAAAATAAGTCACACATGATCTCACTCATATGTGGGATATAATGAACACATTTTGATGAAAAATAGATCCAGAGACAAAGAAACCCTGAATAGACCATCTAACCTCAAAGAGAAGGCGGGGGTGGGGAGTAAGAGTTCAACCAAAGGATTTGTATGCAGGCATATTAGCATAACCAATGGACATGGGCACTGGGGCAGTAAGGGCTTGTGCTGGGGGCTGGGAGGGGTCAGAGGTGGTCAATCAGGAGAAAAGGAGACATATGGAGTACTTTAAACAGTAAAATAATTTTTAAAAAGAATGTTCCTTAAAACTGAGAGCGACAGCTTTTATTGGGATATCTAGGGTTGTTCTCATGGTTTTAATTGCCAAGTTCAGTAACTTTCTCCTGGGGCTTTAAAATGATTAGGGTCATTTTCTTAATATTAGAATAGTTTTATGATTGTTTTTTAGACCACTCGCCTGCTTTGGGGAAGAGGTTGTAGAATGGTATCACACGTCTCTATTCTCCTTTAGTTCCTCTGTGTCATTGGACTATCATGTCAGCTTCTCTCCTTGAAACTATTTGGTTTTAGTGTTCTAGAAATACCGTGCTTCTCCTTTATTTCATTGACCCTGCTTCTGTATCCCCCTTTATTGCTCTGTGTCTGGCAGTCCTTCATCCGATGTATTATCTCGGGGAGAAAAGGTCTGTTATTCACTCACTAAATTTACTCTCTGGAAGGGTTATTCATTTCTATGACACTATCTACTACTTAAATACTCACCACGTCCTATTGGGGGGAGGGGGGTCACAGATGGCGGCGAATATTTTGTGATTCTCCCATCAAGAGATAGACTCTCTATTTCCCCTCCCTTTGGATCTGAGCTGGCCCCGTTTCCTTTTTGAAGCAACCCATGGGACAGAAATGGTGTGGGGTTATTTCTAAGGCTGGACTAAAGAGAATTGTAGCTTCTGCATTCGTGTCCTTGAAAGGTTCCTTCTTAGAACTGAGCCACCTTGCTGTGAGGAAGCCTGCACGGCCGTGTGGAGGAGCAGCCAGGCCTCTGGTCATCAGCCCGAGCTGAGCTCCAGGCCAGCAGCCAGCCCAAGTGCCAGCTCTGTGATTGAGGCGTTTTGGACCTTCCAGCCATCCCAGGATTGAAGCCAGCACCATGTGAAACAGATTGCCTCATCATCCCACAGAATCATGAGAATGATTTTGCTATTTTAGCTGCTGAGTTTTGGGATGGTTTGTTACATAGCAATTAAGAGCCAAATTAACAACTGACTGTACCTAGAAGTGCGGTGCTGTCATAACAAAACATCTGGCATGAGCTTTGAGGCCAGATGGCAGTGAAGACCTGAAGGGCAGTGAGAAGGCTATTAAATGTTGGCTGGGTCCTCAGTGGGTGACTCGGTTGGTTGGCGCATGGCCCCACACACCAAAGCTTTCGGGTTTGATTCCTGATCAGGGCATATACCTAGGTTGTGGGTTCCATCCCCTGTCGAGGTGTGTGCAGGAGGCAACGGATCAATGTGTCTCTCTCACATCAATGTTTCGCTTTCTCC